TCAACTATATATTAAACAAAATAGTTGCATTTACAAACTTAATGTTATTGTGTAACGCTTCAACTATATATTAAACAAAATAGTTGCATTTACAAACTTAATGTTATTGTGTAACGCTTCAACTATATATTAAACAAAATAGTTGCATTTACAAACTTAATTTTATTGTGTAACGCTTCAACTATATATTAAACAAAATAGTTGCATTTACAAACTTAATGTTATTGTGTAACGTTTCAACTAATATTAAACAAAATAGTTGCATTTACAAACTTAATGTTATTGTGTAACGCTTCAACTTTATATTAAACAAACTAGTTGCATTTACGAAAAAGTTACTTTTAATAATTTTATTCCAATATTTGTTTTACTATTATAGTTTCTATACCTTTCACACCTGTCACACCTTTCTCTTTATCTTTTATTTTGTTCCTTTCCAAAAGATGATAAATAAATACTTTTATGAAATCATATCGTATCTGCTGAGAATATCGTCTCAACGTAATCCCATTTGTTTCTATAAAACGCTGTTCAGATGTTTTATCACTATACCTTGCGATGGTCGATGTAATTCAATATCAATAGCGTAGAGTGATATACTAAATTATTTGCAACACGACATGTGTAATTAAAATGACTTAGATGGTTTTGAAACTGATTACGCTGTACTTGCGGTTAAAATAATTGGGTCGATGCTTCATTTTATTGTAATATTTTAAACTATTTTGTTTCACATACTTTGGGTACCTATACTGAAAGTTTTGCGTAATTGACAAAAACAATATCATAATATGTAAGCTACCATATTTTCTGTTAGTATTCTCTATTACATTTTAAACACTTTTTCATTAGTTCAAACAATTTTGAAAACATAAGAACCATTGGTATGAGCGCATGTTTTTCACGTTCTGGTTCTTCTATCACATTTCCTGGCTAAGTAAACGTCAAACCTCTCAAAACCTTTCATCAAATCTTTTTATTTCCGAAAAAATAAAGAAATCGCATGGTGCGAGGTCTAAATTATTGTGTAGTACCAAAAGAATGTTCGGGTATAGGACGTGTTTTTTTAAAATAATTTAAATTTTATGTAACAGTTTAATTATTATCATCACTACAGCCCTTCACAAGTGCACTGCTGAAAATATGCCTCCCCCAAGGAATGCCACAAAGTAAGGTCCTTAGCCACCTGCATCCCTATCGACTTCCTACATGTCTTACCAGGTCGTCACTCCATCTTTTGGGGGGGGGGGGGGCGCACTACACTACGCCCACCGATACGAGGCTGCCACTCGAGAACCTTTCTTCCCCATCGGTTGTCGGTTCTTCAAGTTATATGGCCGGCCCATTGCCAGTTCAGCTTACTAATCCGTTGGGCTATGTCGGTCACTCTGGTTTTACTGCGGATATCCTCATTTCTGAGTCTATCACACACAGAAACTCCGAGCATAGCCCTCTCCATAGCTCGCTGAGCGACCTTGAGCGTCCTCATACGGCCAGCAGTGAAGGACCACGTCTCAGATCCGTAAGTCATCACTGGCAACACGCACTGGTTGTACAATCTAGTTTTCAGAGTTTGAGGTATACCTGACGAGAAGATTGGTCGTAATTTCCCGAACGCTACCCAGTCGAGTTGAATTCGTCGATTGACCTCTCGGTGAAAAAAAGAAATTGGACTTACCTAGTCGGACTATTTGTCCCAGGTAAACGTACTTGTCAACAACTTCGAGCATAGTGCTCCCAACAACTACCGGCATGGGTGTGACATGGATATTAAACATAATCTTTGTTTTGTCCATGTTCATCTTAAGACCTATCCGTTGGGACACACCATTGAGGTCATTGAGCATAGTGCTTAGGTCCTCCAGCGATTATGTCATAAGAACTATAATGTCTATGTCGGCAAATTGAAGGTGAGTGATGTACTTGCCATTGATGTTAATACCGTATCCTTTCCAGTTCAGTTGCTTGAAAACATCTTCCAATGCAGCGGTGAAGAGTTTCGGGGATATAACGTCACCCTGTCTTATACCTCTCTGCAGTTTTGTATAGGTTTCGTCCTCTGGTTTTGTACTCGGATAGCTACCATAGCCATACTGTACTAATACTTCAGCACTTTTATATACTGACAGTTAACTTGGCAACGCTGAAGGGACTGTAGCACCGCCCAAATTTCGATGTAATCAAAGGCTTTCTCATAGTCCACATAAGCAAAGCAAAGTGGCAAATTTTACTCTTCGGTCTTTTGTACAATCTGCCGCAGGATATATATGTGGTCTATGGTACTGAAGCCTTTTCGGAAACCGTCTTGTTCGTGAGGCTGGAAGTCGTCGAGTCTGCGTGCGAGACGATTCGTAATGATTCTCGAAAACAACACATACCTAGACGCGACGAGGAAGATGGGAAATGGGTCCGTAGTCCTTCAAGAGAGCGTTGTCGCCTTTCTTGAAGAACAAGACCACCGCATTTCTGCTTCACGCTTCCGGAGTAGTACCACCATGAAGAACGGAATTGAAGAGCTTTTGAAGGACTTTAAGTACCGGTTTTCCACCCGCTTTCAGAGGCTCCACTGTAATTCCATCCTTGCCTTGCCGTTTATAAGGTGCTGTAGAGCCATTCTAATCTCGCTCTGACTAACGTCCGGGATATCATTGGAATAGTGTAGGATAAGACTTGATCTTGGATCGTTACTCACACTTGCGTGTGGGTCAAACGATGACGTCTACAGCTGCCCTTCATCATCATCATCATCATTACAGCCTTCACAAGTCCACTGCTGAACATAGGCCTCCCCCAAGTAATGCCACAAAGCACGGTCCTGAGCTACCTGCATCCATCGACTTCCTGCATGTCTTACCAGGTCGTCACTCCATCTAGTGGGGGGTAGCCCTACACTACGCCTACCGGTACGAGGCTGCCACTCGAGAACCTTTCTTCCCCATCGGTTATTGGTTCTTCGAGCTATAGGCCTGCCCATTGCCACTTCAGCTTACTAATCCGTTGGAGCCCTTAGAACCTCTTAATCCCACCCAAAATCTCTGGTGTCCCGGAAACGATGCTGCCACTCTCATTCTTCAGCTTTGATAATTGGCTCTTTCTGGCTGATATTTGGCAAAGATTAATAAAGATTAATTCCAACACTTTTCTGATGAAAAACATAAAAAACAGCACAAATACACATGAATCCCAAAATTCATCAAATAAAAATACATCAACAAAATATTCGTATCCTGCAGATTCAAGACGTCTCCCAAGATTCAACGTTATCTAACTATTCGGATGACTGCACTTTGGATTACACGAAATTTTGATTTGTCTTTTGTAACATTAAAATTAATACTTCATCGTAGTAAAAAAAATAACCAAGTAGTTACTTATTCGGATGATTGCAATATTATTCTTTATACTTATCAATATATACTTTGTTTTTTGATTTTGATAATTTTTTGTGAATGAATATATTTTTCTTAATACATAATTAATAAATAAATATACCTACCTTAAACGAATGGCGGGTTTCATTTCAGTGCTTATGCAGAGTCTCATATTTGTGTCTGTACACGGTGGGGTGGAATTCTCTAACCTTGATAGTAAATCATCAAAGGTTGACATTGACACACATTGACATGTGGAAATAATTTAAAAATCAGACGTTCGTCATTTCTGAGGCTTAGAATTAATTTTTCGAATCTTCTTTTTCAATGAGGACCAGTCTTAAAAAAAGAATGAACCCAATAACTCCTAGGACGCTGCCCGAATCTCCGTCTATAAAACCAATATAAAAGTAGTGAGACACGTGGAACCATGATGGCGTGCACTATATACAACTGGCTTCTTTTCATTCGATTTACCGTATACGAAAAAATAGAATCGAATCGTTGTCGTGTGAACGATTGCATCGTATACGGTAAACCTTATATGTAAAAAATCGAATCGTTTTAGTGTGGCCTACGTAATGTTGACTCTAATTTTGTAGAGCTGAATCATATATTCTTACAACTTTACTATGGAGTACTTCTCATTTGAAAGTTATAGTAATAGGTGTAATTTTAAGCGACTTTAAAAAAAGGAAAAGGTCTAAATTCAAGCGTGTTTTTGATATATGTAGGTATGTTCGCGATATCTTTGCCAACTGTGATCCGATTTTAATGTCCACTAGAGTGAACTCATATAAATATGAGAAAAAATTGGCGGAAAACGAGCATGGAAATCTCGTATTATTCTGTGGATGTCGTACAAGAAAACAGAGAAGAACTTAACTAACAGATAGGAAGCAGTATTTTCCTAATAAAAATGAATAAGAACTATAAACTGGTTGCCAATCCGAGCCGAGCATATCTATTATGGCAAATATCACTCTGTGATGCAATTTATAGGGAGGATGTTTAGCTGTGGACTATTGATAGGCTGTAAAGGTAACGGTAACGGTATTGAGTGCGGAGAATATGATATGAAGTGTTTAATATAACTATTTAGATGAAATTCTAAATGCAAACAGACGGAAAAATGACTGATTAAGTTTCAGAATCCTTTATATATCTCAGGGCCCCTTTTTTACCTGATTTCAAAACCGGGAGGGGATTCTGATTTCTGATGTATGTCTACTCGTAGTATATGATATCTCCGTCAATTGTAAATCGATTTTGATGAATTCTTTTTTTATCAAGTAGATTTTACTTTAATGTTGGTCCTATACAAATTTGGAGAAAAACTTTGCCCCCAAGGGTGGTAAAATATGGGATAAAATTTTAATGGAATTACTTAGTCGACATTGAGTTTGTGATATTCTTACGCAAAATGACATAAAATTAACTTTTGCTTCAAATAAAAGTCAACTTAAAACACTATAAAGAAAATAAATCACATTCTCAAGTCGGCGCTAATACGTGTATATAATTTTGATGAGCTGTATTTAAACAAAAGAGTATTTGCTTTATATTTTCCCAGACAAATCAATGGTCGTGTGTGCGCCTACCGGTTCCGGTAAGACGGTTATTTTCGAAATGGCTATCGTTCAATTGCTGATGGAAATGGACAGCAAACATTGTAATGAAGATTTCAAAATTATTTATAGTGAGTCTGTGATGGTTTTTCTATTGATACCAGTTTTACAGTAAAGACGTGATGCGCCGTGGTTAGCTCAGGGGCTGAATGTTTGCCGTAGATTTCATGCGATGAACACGGGTTACTCGGGTACTATGAAATTCATAGTAACCGAGTAACCCGTGTTCGATCTCCATTGGTGCCATTGAAACTGTTATTTGCAATTTTAAGTGCTGATTTACCATATATTTGGCGGTGGAGGTAAACAATGTAAGGAAACCTGCGTATATGAGAAATAAAATATTTTCGATTGTAAGCTTGTTAACAGATATTGAAGCAGCGCGGCGAACTAACTACTTCACAACCCTTCAGAAATAGAAGGACGCTTGTGCCCAATTATGAAGTTTTTGCAATTTTAGGTACTAATTACTACGTGCTTATTGGCGAAGGAAAGTATATTTAGGAAAATTGCATGTCCGTGATATTAGAAAAGATTTCGAGGACACGTGGAATCAGACCCCCCTGACATTCTAAAGAATTCGTCTATGCAATATTTACCTTTTAATTTGTATATATTGTGCTTGTATATATTATGCAATACATTTACTATATTGCATAATATATACAAGCACAATATAGTATACAAGTTGTATATATAGAAGTCAGTGAGTACATTACATATATTTTTTAAATTTCTCGGAAATACGTCAAAATAGCAGCTTAATACTGCTGTGTTTCGTATGGTGAGTGTAGAGATCCAGAAACCCTTTTTTACTGGAATTGAGGCATTCCATCTTAGTCCTCAGGGACTCAGGGGTAACAGTACATCAGCGTTTTGATTCCTAATCGAGGATAAATGTAGATTTCTATGGGCCACAGCTTCCACTTACCATCAGGTGTCTCATTTATCACCCGTCACCCTTATTCTATAAAAAAATCTCGCGCACGGCACCTACAGTGAACTTTATACTGCATAAACGAGTTGTGGTGATATGACACTCTGCTAGAAGGACTCAACTTTTCGCTCACTCTTGATCCTACCTGTTTTTGATAGATGCGCCGACAAATTCTCTGTACTCGTGTAAATAATTTGTAAACGTTAAATTTGTGTATTGCGTCTTTTTTTTTAATTACAGAAAGTTTTTCATTGAAAGTATATTTTCAGTGGCACCAATAAAAGCACTGTGCACTGAGAGACTGACTGAATGGTATCCGAAATTTACAAAACTTAATTTGCTGTGCATTGAAGTGACGGGCGATACTGATGTAGACTTTTCACAATTGAAACCTTACAGGTAAAATTTACGTAGATACATTATTTCATAGAAAATCTTAATCTCATATTGTGGCAACGCCGTGAGTGGACATTTCTTTCCGTCCCCTTGCATTACAAGGCCGTAGCCAGGAGGGGGGATCAAGGGGGATTGATACCCCCCGCCCGAAATACCTATATATACTACCTACTGTTATTTTTATTATGTATGACTTTATGGTCGCTTGGTGAACGCACGACGATGCTTAAAAAGCGGCGCAGCGACATCTATTAGGGAGCGGCGAAACCACGTGCTACACCAACTACACAAGCAACGCAACTTCGGGGGCATGCTCGAACTACATTTCGGGAATATACTTAGTCAGGGCATAAGTTTTGTCAAAACCTTATTCTTTAAAATTTTCGAATACTGGCTAGATGAACTTCATCAATTTTAAAAATATAACGTTTGTAATTGCCGAAAATAAATAAAAACCGGCCAAGAGCGTGTCGGGCCACGCTCAGTGTAGGGTTCCGTAGTTTCCTGTCCGTCACAATAAGTGTTTCCACTTATGAGTTTAAAGGTGGATATCCATTATGTTCGCGCTCCAGCAGCGCTCCGCGCTCCTACAACTGCTTTCGGTAGTGGGTACTGTTGTTTCCATCCAAGTTCAAAATGATTTTCCTAGAAAGTCCTTATAAAGTTCTACTTTTCAGATTTTTTTCATATTTTCTAAACTTATGGTTCAAAAGTTAGAGGGGGGGGGACAAACTGTTTTTTAATTTTGGAGCGATTATTTCCGAAATTATTGACATTATCAAAAATGATTTTAGGAAACCCCTATTCACTTTTAAATACCTTTCCAATAATATATCACACGTTAGGGTTGAAATTAAAAAAAATCACTTCCCACTTTACATATAGGGGGGCTACCCTAATAAAACATTTTTTTCCAATTTTTATTTTACCACTTTGTCGGCGTGATTGATACACATATTGGTACCAAATTTTATCTTTCTAGTGCTAACGGTCACAGAGATTAAGCGAGGACGGACAGACGGACAGACAGACATGGCGAAACTATAAGGGTTCCTAGTTTACTACGGAACCCTAAAAAAGACATAAATTTTCATAAAGGCCAAATACGACGCGAATGACCTTGCTCGTTTCGCAGAAAACCACGCGCCGCCCGTACGCTTTGTTTATATAGACGTATATAATATAATCAAAGCCGTACGGGCTTTGATTTTATTATATTTGACTGAGCTAGCTCAGTAAGAGTAATGAACAACACAGAGAGCATTGCTTACTTCTTAAATAAATCTTTCTTATTTATAATATTCTATAATATAATATTCACTTTTCGAACAATATTTTATAATATTCGTTATAAAATATTGTTCGAAAAGTTATTGAATTGATAACGGTTTCATTTTCTTAATTGGTGCATCGTACGTAAAGAACCTCATATAACTGAAAATGTTTGTTCTTGTGAGTCTTACAAGATGCCGTAATGCAAATTGCATAAATAATAAAGAAAAAACAAAACTAAAACGTCGGTGATTGCCCCATAGTAGGGATAGGTACTGTGTATGTAAATTCTCACAAGACTACTCCGACTGGTCAATCACTTCACATCCGAAGTATTTCGGTTTTTCTTAATTATGTACTTACCCCATGCTTTCGGACAATACATTGACTATGACATTATTTGCGGTCTCTGTGCTTGCACTACTCTGTACATTCTTTTCCGACTGGGTCTTGATATTTACATTTTTAGTTTTTCTCACTTGAAACTAGAAAAGTATAAATGATCAGTTTGGCTAATGTAATGAGTAAAAATGCAACCTATTAGGCAGCCTCAAACAAAAAGTTACCTTACAAAAATATAAGTATTAACCTCAAAAAACAACATTCGAGCAGCGTTCATGCGATAAACTCTTTGTTTTACCACTTAGGTAACATTTATTTCTTTTCCTACCCATATTTACATTTATCCTATACCTTTAAACGAGTAATTCTTGTATATTGTATATATATATTGTATTGTTATTTGTATATTGTATATATATATATATATATATATATATATATATATATATATATATATATATATATATATATAATCGGGATCTCGGAAACGCCTCCAACGATTTTCATAGAATTTAGTGTCTAGGGAGTTGCGGGGGCAATAAATCGATCTAGCTAGGATTTATTTTTAGAAAATGTCCTTTTGTTCGTGTTTTCAGGCAATAAAAAACTGCTACAATATAAGAAGGTAAATTTTGACAGGTTACCAACAATCGTAATAGCTCATATGGGATGTTGTTCGGGCGTGATATCGGAATTCCGTGGTTCGCGTCCCGTCTAGGTCCGACTTTTTTCCTTTTTTTATTTCAAGTTCCCTTCTTTTGTGAGAGAATCTATTATTTCGAGCCCTTTTTTAGTATTTTTTAAAAATACGAAAATTTTAATTAAACTAATTGCACTCATGATTTTTTATTGAAATAACCAGTTCAGTTTTTTCTATTATGTCAATAAGATCAAAAACTATTATTCATGTAATTTGTATATAAATGTAACTTAAAAAAACCGAGCAAAGCTCGGTCATCCGGGTACTAGTCACTTAAACGCGTATAAAACACTAAATTAACGATTTTCGCTACAGACACATCGACTGTTGTTACCTTACGTCACACGTCGAAGCGCCTGGTAATTTATTACGGCAAACTTTTATCTGGCAATATACGATATTATTATTAGGTGTTATTAATTAAAACGAATTATGTTAATAAATAATATTTTGTATCGAAAATAAAGACAGCAGGCACCTTCGGAATCACAATACGAACATTTTTACGTAAAAGAATTTTTCCTAAATTAAAACTGCGGGCACCTTGTAAAGGAACTGAACAAACCTACAAAAATGTTTTAACGCTTAGAATTACTTCAGGTCAAAGTTGTAGTGCAGAGAAATACATTAAATTTCGCTATTTCTCTTCGTATTCGGCCTTAACTTTTAAATATGGAGTGGTCGAAGAAAGAAGATAGAGTAGCGGTTATCGCGTTGCACCGCTGTGGTTACGCGCCAAAGATTTTCAATATTCTACAAAAATTGAAAATAACCCCACAATTTGTTTATCGTACTATCAAACGATTCACTGAAGATTCAAGCTTCGAACATCGTAAGAGGACCGGCCGACCTCGTACAGTTAGGACACTTGCGATCACTAAAGCAGTGAAGTGAATCCAACGAAATCCTGTTCGTAAACAAAAATCTTAGCTCTTCAGATGAGCTTAAGCAGAACCACGGTCAAAAGAGTGATCAATGAAGACCTTGGACTACGAGCTTATCGTAAGAAGACCGGCCATTTTTTGAACGAGCATTTGAAAAAAATCGGGCTGGATAGATCCCTCGCTTTGTTAGGGCGGTACGCGGGAAAAAATACCGCAAAATTTTGTTTTCGGATGAAAAAATTTTTAACAGCGAAGAAAGTTATAATAAACAAAATGATAAGGTGTTTGCCCGTTGTAGTGAAGAAGCCAGCACGCGTATGCCGAGGGTTCAACGAGAATATTATCCTTCGTCACTCATTGTTTGGCTTGGAGTGTCATACTCAGACTAAACTGAAGTGTTTTTTTGTGAAAAAGGTGTAAAAACCAGTGCCGAGGTGTACCAAAACACCGTCTTAACAAACATAGTGGAACTTCTTTCTCAAAAAATGTTCAAAAACAGACATTGGACATTCCAACAGGACTCTGCACCGGCTCATAGGGCACGAATCACGCAAAACTGGTTGACCGCCCATGGAGTTGACTTTATCAAACATGAAGACTGGCACTCTTCTAGTCCATATTTAAGCCCACTGGATTATAAGATATGACAACATTTGGAAGAGAAAGTCTGCGCTAAACCTCATCAGAATTTGGAATATCACCCTGCATCTTTGGCTAAAGCAGCGGCAGAAATAGATATGAGTGTGGTGTGTGCTGCGATTGATTTTCAATAATGTAAATAAAATTGTATTCTAAAATACATTACCTTTCATTTCTATTATAATTTCTATATAATTATCAAAAAGTGTATCATTCATTTTATAAAAAGTTTTTGTCAGAACTTATGACCTGACTAAGTACAATAAGCATAGAATGAGACGAGATTCTTGGTGTTTCGTTGCGCCGCGTCTGCGGAATATATAAGCGAGCCGTCGAGCACGGAGAGGCAGTTCCAAGCAGTTCTGTCTTGGAAAGTGATCTAATGCGACTAAGGCGATATAAGCGAAGTAATAGTGTGTGAAATAATAGTGTTGTGAATTAGTATTGAAGTAAGTGGTGTTATAATTTTTGTAATTAAAATTAAAATTAAAAGGATTTGATGCCTAAGAGTAGACCTACCCGTATTCATTTTCATTTAAATATTTATCGAAGTAAATATTTATGTACAAATGGAATTAATACTTGGCTGTTTTTTTAATTGTTACAGGTTGTTTTAACATTTGAAATGGCAAAAAGGATGCAAGAAAATACATTATTCAAATATTTATTTAAAAAATCTAAAGCTGGTACTGGTAGTGAAGGTTCTACAGAAAATTAGTGTTCAAGTGTTTTCGACAGTGATACTGCTACAAGTAGTTCTGGTACTTCTGCTGCCGTTCCTGGGACTGTGGATGATGTTTCTCAGCATGTTTTAGATGTGGGCTATTATACGGGATTAAACACCAAAATTGATGATGATTTAAAGAAATCTCCTTACAGATTGTTGAAATCTCCTTGGATGCCAGAAAAGACATTGAAGTTTCCAGTAAGTGACGATAAAAGAAAGGTAAAATTTCAAATGCAATGATTTGAACGGTTCTCGTGGTTGGTTTACACGAGTACAGGGCAAAAAGGTGCTTTATGCAAATATTGTGTATTATTTGCCAGAGATTGCGCTGTTAAAAGCTCTCATCAGCAGTTGAAATCCTTAATCGGCTGAGTAAGCCGTTCACTAAATGGAAAGATGCTGTACATGATTTCAAACATCACAGTGAAAGCCAGTACTACAAATCTTCTGTATTATTGGCTGATAATTTTATGAAGGTGTATAATAAATCTCAACCAAATACAATAAGTCAGGTTGATAGTGGATACCTAGCGCAAATAGCTGAAAATTGGAAACGGTTCATTCCGATTATGGAAAAATTAAATTATGTGGACGTCAGGAATTGGCACGGAGAGGTACATGCGACTCAGGTCCAATAAAATCAATGATGCTGAGCCAGAAACAAATGATGGAAACTTTCGTGTTATGTTACGGATGAGAAGCAGATGTAGAAACTCAAATCTAATAAAGCACACAGAAAATATGACGTTGAACGCTACCTACCTAAGCCCGACTATACAAAATGAACTTATTGCAATTTGTGGTGAAATAATCTAGAAAAAAATTGTGCGAATTTTTTTTTCAATTCTTGTTGACAAAACTACTCATGTTTCACGACAAGAACTTAAGGGAAGATCTTTTAACTTTTGTAACAGTTGAGAATACATATGGAAGATATTTAGCTAATGCAGTTTTATCTGAATTCAATTGCAATCTTTGTAGATTGCAAATATTTAGTTTCTTCGATGAAAGAAAGTTTTAAATGTGTGCAGGCAGTTATTCGTGAGTCACACCCAGAAGCCTTATACATTCATAGCAGCTCACATTCATTAAATTTAGCTCTGGATCATTCTTGTCCAGTTCAGCTTATTCGAAATACTATTGGAATTATAAAATCGGTAGGAAATTTTATCAAGTCCTCGGCAACAAACCAAATGTTTAAAAGATAATATCGAAAAAAACTTCCCTGAAACACAATGGAAAAACCTTACGGTAATGTGCGAGACCCGCTGGGTAGAAAATCTTGATGGGTTGTTAAGATTTAAAGAAATTTATAAAGCTATTGTTGATACACTAGACGACTTAAGCACTGACATGGATTCTGAAACATCGTCAAAGGCTAATTCTTTTCTGAGATCAGTCATTTCAAGTTATTAAAACTACTTTTACGGATTTTATCGCGTTTTATTTATTTTATTTTTAATACCCGACGTTTCGGGTGCTTTCCAGCACCCATGGTCACGGGGGACTGACTGGACGTCAATCACCTCAGTCCCCCGTGACCATGGGTGCTGGAAAACACTAAAATCCGTAAAAGTAGTTTTAATCAATGTATAGTGTTCGCGTAAATATAAGAAATCATCATTTCAAGTGATTTTGTTTTAAGCTTATGTTGCTTAGGAATGTAGTTCCCGTACACACTGACACTGTGCAAAATACTTCAATCTCCCCTATGCGATTTGGCAGCAGATTTACAACATGTCGATTTTATTATAAAAACTATTGAAGATGTTCGCCAAAATATTGAATCAAAATTTGCTGAACTTTTCAAGAATGCACAAAATTTGCTCAGTACTGTAAACGAGCAAATGAAAATTCCGTGAATAACGTGGTGTGTTGTGTTTGGTGTGACCAAGAACATAGGGTAAATTACAACACAAAAGATCCTGAAACTTATTTTAGAATTACTATAATGATTCCACTTTTGGAAGATTTCATTGATCAACTTCAATCGAGATTCCAAAATCATAAAGCCACATTATCATCTCTCAGGGTTTTAATTCCGTCTTTATTTTGCAAAGAATAAATTAATCAAAATTATCAAGAAAATTACTTTGAGCTCAATAAAAATATTCGGAATAGGACTTTGTAAAAGCTGAATTAGTCATGTGGCTGATAAAATGGATGGAAGAATCTGAACTAGACCGACCAACATGTGCTATTGAAGCTCTCGGAGAATGTTAATCCACCCCAAAATTGACATCGACACCGAGGGGGTAATTGATTTGTTCGCTGCAAAGAAAGCTAGAAGATAAATTTAATTTTGTAATAAGGTGTTAATATTTCTGTAATGGTTTTCTCATAAATATATATGATAAGTAACACAATTTTATTTCTTTTATTAAAACAATTTTATTTCTTTTATTAAAACAAATTTATTTCTTTTATTAAAACAATTTTATGTTTTTCTACTGTTCCACCAAATCACCCCCCCCCCCGAAACTGTTTTCTGGCTACGGCTTTGTTGCATTTCTCCGACTTATCATTATCACTTGAGTAATGAAACGGAATCATGTGACTATAATCAGGCTAGCGTTGATATTTAAGTTAAGCTGCATCTGTCGGATTACAACACGTTCATTCATAGATCACTATTAATAGTCGTGGAAAAAGTTTTTTCGTATTTTGTTTGTATAAAATTGAAGAAAAATCTCTATGATTGTACTATTTTTATCTAGCTGGTTTTATGTAGGACATTAAGAAAAAGATAAATAAAAAGTAAAAAAAAAAGACTTTCCCACTATTTTTCAAGCGTTTTTCTGTCCGCCAAAATGAGTGAATCTAACGAAGAAATTCGATACATTCTGAAGTTTTATTACAAAAAGGGAGTAATGCGACTCAAGCCGCGAAAAATGTTTATGGACCTAATACAGTGTCAGTAAGAGTAGCACAAAGTTGGATCAAGCGTTTTCAGTCCGGGAATTTTGATATCAAAGATGCAGCTCGCTCTGGACGCCCCCATACGTATAAAGTCGATACCATTTTTGAAAACGTGGAGCAATATCGGCGTATTAATAGTTACGACATAGCCGAGGAATTGAAAGAAAGCAGTTTTGACCCATTTAAAAAAGGTTGGCTATACAAAAATAGCTCGATATGTGGGTATCCCACGAACTCACTGAAAGAAATCTGATGAATGGTGTACTCATTTGCGATTCTCTATTGAAACGTAATGAAATCGAACCATTTTTTAAAAGATTGATCACTAGCGATGAAAAGTGGATCACCTACAACAAGAACTTGTGAAAAAGATTATGGCAAAGGGTAGTCAAGCTCCACAGACTGTAGCGAAACCGGGATTAACACGGCATAAGGTGATGCTGTGTGTATGGTGGTATTGGAAGAGCATCAACATAACGCGAGACCACACACATCTTTGGCCACTCAGTGCATCCACCGTATAGTCCTGACCTCGCATCCTCAGACTTTTATCTGTTTCAGTCTCTTCAGAATTCTTTAGTAGTGTTAGGTTAACAACAAGAGAAGACGGTCAAAACTACTTGTCGCATTTTTTATCAAAAATCCCAAGATTTCTACAGCAACGGGATTATGTCCCTACCTTGAACGAAGTGGTTAATTCGTTCAAGGTCACTACTTACAAGATAGCAACAAGTTATCGAACAAAATAGCACATATAAATTATGATTAAAAATAATTAAACTTTGGAAAAAATGTCTTCAATGTGTATATAAAATACATACGAATAAACGTTTTCCCCGATTTTTTTGAAATTTTCATTGGTTCCTTTGAATTCTCTGTGTAACGGTGTAACCGTTGCCATAATGCTAAATATAAATTATTTTTAGTTGTTATAAAGTGGTTCATGACAGTTAAAAAAACTTTATTTATGAGACAATGGTAAAACATATAATTTTAGAATCATAATAACTACACCCGAGAAATGGGACATGCTGACTCGTAGATGGAGAGACAATAGAGGAATGGTGGAGGTCATTAAACTATTTCTAATTGACGAAGTGCACATTCTGAACGATAGTGTTCGAGGCCCTGTACTCGAGGCCGTGGTCAGCCGGATGAAGACTATTCAAGTATGTAACTAATCTATCTTTATATATATATATAGCTATATATAGCTAGTAAAAATATATATATATATATATATATATATATATATACTAGCTTGCCAGACAGACGTTGTTCTGCCCTTTTCGACGACCCTTTGTCACGTCCTATTAAAATCCTTAAATTCGCAAAAAAAATTATATGGTTAACTCATGGGCAAAAAACTGTCCTATCTCTTAAGTTGGACCAAACTGCACACGGTGTGCAAATTTGATTAAAATCGGTTAAGTAGTTTAGGAGTCCATCGCGGACAAACAACGTGACACGTAATTTATATATATTAAGATTACACACATAACCATATTACACGTAATTGTTCTCTCCGTGTGTATGTGACTGAACATCTGTTAAACGACTGAACCGATTTGGATGATATTTTATGTGTGTGATTTAGTTCATTCGAAAAATAGTTTAAATTTACAATTGCTGTTGTCGAGATACAGAAATCACCCCTGCGAAGTCGAGACGGAGCGCTAGTATATGTATATTATGTTTATCATAATCTGTTTCTGCGGTCAAGCCAACAGTGTATCCACTTTCGTATTTCGGATACAAGAGTATAATATGAAAAGCCATATGATGTATAACCGCTGAGTAGTTCCCGGAATTATTTTCAGAGGTGACAAGTGACAACTCACCTGTTTTGGTTGAGGATGTTCATGGACTCCAATAACCACATACCATCAAGTTTTAATACAAGGATACGTAACAGTCTAACTATGGTTACGTGTATGATGTAGATCGTGGAGTTGCAAATTAATATCGCGTGACATATTAGCTTGCTACTCAAGTAGGATTGGGTCGGCGAGTTCGTTCTCACAGAATACCAGCTTAAAGTAGCAGTTCAACAATACCGTGTTACGCATGGTGGGTATAGAGAACCGCAGACCCTTTTTACTGGAAACGAGGCATTCCATCTCAGTCTTCAGGGGTGACAACGCATCTGCATTTTGATTCTTAATCGAGGATTGAGGTAGATGTCTATTGGCCACAGCATCCACTTACCATTGGGTAGATTATGTGGTCATTTGTCAACCTTATTTTATATTTAGAAAAAAGTCTAGGTTTTACACACTTTTTTAGGTAATTTTAGACTATAGCTGTCACCTCGTTTTTTGGCTCTAGAAAATCGAAAAATCGTCCGATTTCGATGATTTTTTAGATCTTCTTTATTACGGCGGCTTTATGAAAAAAAATACAAGAGTAAAAAATATGAAAATTGTATCGGTTCCAAGGCTTTAAATGTTCATGAAAATGCACTCATTCACGTATAATTGTTGATAACTTTTTAAAAAATAATCGAATGAAGCTGTTATATATTTTTTCATAATCTACACAAAAAACAACCATTTAAAAAAATAAAAAAATGTTTGTTTATGAATTTTTTATTTTGGTTTTTATTGAGTGTAAGATGGAGCGATGCGAGCTCGGGACTTAGGGCATCCCTACTCGGACAGGTTAGGTTAGAAGGAGGGTTAGGGCTCCGTCGAACAGGCTTCCCTCGATTGCGCTACGGGAGAGAGTTGGGGGAGGAAAGCACCACGCCACTCAACGTAGCGCAGTCGAGGGAAGCTCGGTCGATGGAGCCCCGCTTCGTGGGGCTCCTACTTCTAAGTGGTTTATAAAAAAATAACCACGAAGGAGATGGCGAGGTCTATTCGCTCGATTCGCTCGCTCACTCGACCTACCATCTCCTTCTAACCTAACCTGTCCGAGTCGGGATGCCCTAAGTACCGAGCTCGCGTTGCTAAAAAATTAATAAGTAAACATTATTATGTGATTTTTTTTTCATTTTTTTAAGATATGACAAGATTAAGATATAGCAATCACTGTTAAAGATTGCATAATTTTTTATTCTTTTACAAGATTTTTTCGAGGATAATATGAGTTATTGATATATTTTTGAATATAATACACAGTTAATTCTCTTCATTTGGGTCTTTTCCGTAAAAACGAAGATTAAAAAAAACTCATCGAAATCGGATGATTTTTCGATTTTCTAAAGCCTAAAAACGAGGTGACCGAGATAGTATAAACTTATCCAATTTTATTTTTCACACGAATATTAACTGTTTAATTATTTTCACATCTTTAATCGACTTAGAAACAGACAAGGATGCGAAACGTCTACTACTACGAACGGGAATTCCGCCTGCTAACTGTCATAATTAAGGGTGGGAGAGTTCCGTGTTTTATTTACAGACTATTATTAATGATTATGTAGAAATAGTCGACAAGTAATTTAATACTTTAAATGTCAAATAGCTGCAAGTCGAATTTTCATTACAAAGAAAAATTATCTTTTTCATCAGTCGTCAGTTCAGTCAGCGCATCGCATCGAACTACTTCAAAAGCAAAACCAAGGCGATCTAAATATTTCTGAACAAGAGACAGCAATGCCTAAAATTAGGTTCGTAGCGATATCCGCTACTATTAGTAACCCTGAAGATGTTGCGGAATGGCTTGGGACTAGTAACAAGCCTGCTATATATTACAAGTAAGTTCGACAACACTCACCACAACATGTTCCAAATAACATGGAAATCGACTAATTGTCTTATCGTAATTAATACTGTAAATTGCTGGTTTACCCTTCAAGCCAGCGATGTTAAACTTAAGGAACGTGTTTCGACAGATAATTAATTTTTAATAATTATTTATTAAAAAAAATAATAATATTTTAATTCATTTGAGTAATTCTAAAATTATTCAACAGCAAAACGTTTAGATATGATATTCATTATTATCCTAGTCAAAAATCGTTAGGTCGAGCTGCGCCGGAGTTTAAATAAATAGCTTCATTTCGTATCCATGTTCTTAGCCGACATTTAATTAAAAATGTTTAAAGTAAATGTATGTGGAAAAAGTTTTGAAAATAATATGCGTTTTTTGAAGTCAATACTCACGTCGTCAAGCCGTTGTATCTTCATAGATTTTACATATTTTTTTTAACTTTTTGCCAAGATTTGGTGATGAATGCCGTCCAGTGAAACTGAAGCGCGTTGTAGAAGGCTACCCCTGCCCTGAAGGCACCAGCATATTCAAATTCGATATTATTCTGAATTATAAGTTGTGGCCTTTAATACAGAAATATCACGATG